ACATCTTCTTTTATGTAAATCGCCGAGGAGGCGATGTTTCGAATTTCGAAGCAGTGAAAATGGAGCCAATCTCGTACCTACTATTTGTGATGATTTCCATCAAGTATAAAAAGGTACAGTATATATGAATTTGAAAATGTTTAGAAGTATTTCATTGTTACAAATTATTTAGCGGATTCCCATTATTTGTTACATTGTCTAGCTCTATGAAATATATATTTCGAAGGCTATTTACTGTAATATATTTTATACAGTATGTTAATATAGTTAGGTGAATTTGTACAATTGTAGTTAAATATAATTTGTGAATATTGAAAAACACATGGCCAGACTATGGCCTATAATACTATACTCGGACTCTCAGTAAAGTTCTACTCTCACATGATTATTATTTACAATATTGATTTATCGCTGTGAGAAACGTGTTTACACTTTAATACAGTATTATTAAACTACATTTTACAGCAGTATTAACTTCAAATACTTTGTATTTACATTTACAGTAATGACCTGAAATTATTTAAATGAGCCATTACTGTAATAACAGAGTGGCCAGGTTAACAAAGCTAAAATCTGATGAACCTAACCTGCTAGGATATTTCAATAGTCAAACATCAGTTTCAGCACTCCAGCTGATCAGGGATTTTTTAGGGAAAAGTTTTAGCACCCCATTGTAAAACCTGCCTCCAAATCTCAAAATTTCAATATTTTGTTCCCTTGCCCCTACAATCTATATTTAAACCTTTTGTGCCCTTGAGATCTTTAAAAAAATGCCTAACTCTGCAGTATGACGTGTAACCTTAATTGCTGCCATATTTATTTTCTGACTTCAGACTTCAATAAATTTCTACTCTAATACCTGACAGAGATGGGGGCCATATGTATGAACAATAAGAAATGATTTCTTCATCTATTATTGACCCCTTACCTTTCACCCAATTTTAAAATTAAATTTACTGAATGATTTTGAACTTTTCTAGATTATTGAAAAGAACTTTATGGGTACAAGAAATGGGGCAAAAACAGTTGAATTAAGCAAGATGCAAGTAACAATGAACAATACCGGGTCACTGGATGGTATTTCAGCACACTGGTGGACATGCAACCTAATACCTGCAACCTGTGTCACATTTACATATATAGTTTTACACTCTACTGGAAAAAAAATGTCAAGGAACTTGTAGAGATTCAGAATGCACACTTCATGGTTTATTCAATCACCAGCATGCATGAATCATTTTATGTTATGAATATTTTTCTCACTTTATAGATAAAATTATATCAATTTTTAATATCATAAATGAATATATAGTAGCTTTTGATTAAACAAGTTATAATAATATATCAGCAAATAATGACTGGTCTCTCTGAAATCCATATAGAAAGGTTCAAATTTGACTTCCACTACCACTACTTGATCTGGCAGTTGCATCTGATTGTTTGACTGGATAAATGAAACTTATCTGGTTAGTGGTTAATGATAGCAATAGCAGTAGTGGAAGTCAAATCTGATCTCTCTATTACTTTTTGAATATTTGCTCTAGTCATGTCAATTCAGGGTTGCCCATGCAACTTGGTTAGCACAGCTAGCTCTTCAAGTTGGAGGTCCAATTCTTAGGATTCTGCAAATTAATTCTAGAAAACTGGCGTTGGTTTGGGCTAAGCAAAAATCATCACACTGTTTATCATGCTGATTTGGTTGTTTAACAGTTAAAGTCCAGGCTGCATGTTTTTTTTGTCCTGCATATGGCAGATGGGACAGTCTGGTTTCCAAGTGTTTATGTGGGGAATTAATATTAATCAGGACTGGCTTCTGAGTAAAGGTCTTGCCTGCTTTATGTGAGAGCAGGCTCTATGTGAGATTCCAATTGCTACACAGCATGATCTCAGTGCTCTTCCTCTGAAACAATGCTTGGTTGCGATATCATCCAGCAAGTGCAAAAATGTACTACCACGGTCATTTGGCATGTTCATCGACTATCTTAACCCATTGAGTGGCGCCATGCACCCTCCACCTGACGAGTAAAATTGTCTGGTGTAAGACAGAGTAAACTAACAAAGTAGGGTGCATCTGGGTGCATTGGGCCATTCCATTATTTAATGTATACACCCCTATGGACGAGTTCAATAAAATTTTGAACCCCTAAGAAAAAAAGATCAAAGTGCCGACACCCCCCGCCCCCCTCCAGAAATTAAGAAATTTTTGCCTTATCCCTCAGAAAAAATGCAAAGATCGAAGGATGCTGATGCACACAACCCCTCAGAAACGGCTTTTTCAACCCCCTCAGAAATTCTAGTCCATAGATACCACAGCACAACACTTGTACATATTCATATACATATACAAGTAATACAACAGCAATCCTTTTATATATTTAATAGTCATATTTACATATTGGTGAAATATCAATGTCCATATATTAGGGATGTCCATTGTCCATGAACTTGTCCCTAGTTTGAAGCTAATGTATTCATATCTTTTGTATAAGTTGTCCCTCTACAAATCAACTTTTATTCATTATACAAGAGTTGAATTCGCATAAGTCGCAACAAAATAAACAAAGTACTATTCCATAAACCTGTGCAATGATCGAGCGTCTGTGGCGACATATCCGTGTCTTTTAAACGTCTCATACGAACAAATCTCACTGAGTTTTTTCTACAGAAAGTATTGATCCATTTGATCGATCGCCGTACTTTGAGAAAAGCTTGAAGTGCAAAATTCACAAGGAAGATTGAAGAATTTCGGAGATAAAAACTGTTTGTCTTCGAGTTTCACATACAATTCACCCCCCGGTTGAGAAAAGTAACAATTATGTAATGTTGGAGTCACGTGACCAGCGTTTACCAGGGCTATGTCGCCGCCTTCAATTCGCGACTAGCCCTGGGTACGAGGTTGTCGAACTCGTTGGTCTGCTAATTGTTTAACAATGTCGACAAATCTGCTCCGAAACAGGTCGTAAACATGAGCTGCATCAAAATTAACGTAGATGGCCAGTGAAGCAGCTGAAACATGTGTGATGCGCTTTAGGCCTGGGGCCTAGCGTGCACAACAAGGAGTTCTTGAAGAAAACAAAAAATTTAAAATTTTCAACAGGCTTCATTAAAAATATTGTAACTTGGCAGTTTTTGACGCGATATCCGAGATACCTTTTTCTTGTGCTACACAGATCGTTAGCTACCGCGCGCTGTAGTGCCGAAAAATGTTTCTGTAACGTTAATCACCTAAATATTTCAACTTCAAAACTATAAACTTGCGTGTCAACTTCATCGCTTCTTACGAGACGGCAAATATTTTTATTTTTTTCAGCGAGGAAACGGCCAAATGGTATTAAACTTTAGAGTTGTGATGTACATTATGTTAAAATGTATTATGCAAGATTTCATCGTGTAGTTTTTTGACCCTCTTTTGCAATCGTTTATAGAATTTAACCTATTCAATTTTTTTACAACACAACTGCTTTCGCAACTACGAGGTCTAAAAATACCTATGTAAAAACCTTTTTGTAAAATCATATTTTTTGTTTAGTTTATGTGCCTATCTGAAAGAAAAGATATATCTACCCGGGTACGGTAGCACAACTTTATTTTTACCACAACCCAAAAACTAAAATGGTCAGGGGAATGGGACGAGTAAACAACAAACGAAAGGCGGGAAAAACATACTTATGAATATGCAAAACATACGCAAAACAGTGATCTGAATACACAAATGTACAAAGAAAAATACGAATACGAAACCAAACAAACCATAAAGTAAACAAACCATATTATTAATATAACAAAAACTATATATGTTTTAGAGTAAAAACATATTTTATCACAGCTAATGCCGAAATGCAAAATTCACTAATTCATAGTGAAATTGTGCTTTAACGCGGACATGACGAGTAAACCGCTACAAAACTGCCATTTAAACTGATGGCAATTTGCAATTCTTCCTCGCTCAAGCAGCCCGCCACCTCTAAACACGAAAATGCAATGAAACCGCTTTCGAACAACGTGGGGTGTCCGCGCATCACACATGTTTCAAAGCTTTCACTGGTGTTTCACCGCCCATTCTTATAGACGCCCTGATGTTAATGATAAAGCTTCTGACAAAGGCCTGTGTTGGTGATATGAACTATTTCCAGAACCAATACTCTTCAGGGATGTTATATATACATGCATACAGTGTATAGACAGTGATCGATGCAATATTACATTTTTACACCAAGACATTAGTATTATCAGCCCTTCAATTTCGGCGCAGAGCTCTAACCAACTAAGTTACAGAGTCGAGTTGTCGAGCTTAACCGCTAGCTCATATATGCATATATACATGCATACATGGGTCGCAGGTTTCATTCCTGCCAGATACCTGTAGTTGTATTATTTTCAGGCTGCTCCTGCATGGTTATAGGTGTAAAAAGTTTAGGTATAAAATTTGCTGTCGAAATTCCCATCCATAAAACATTCCAACTATTTCAATTCAGAGTTGCAGAAGGTATTCAACCTTCCTCTAGGTAAAAATTCAAGTTTAAACCTTACCGCGGAAGGGTGGCAGAAGTACATGTGAAACGCAAGAAAGAGTTTGTAGAACTGTAATTGTCGATCGAATGTCGAATTTGACCACTATTAATTGTTGCATTAAATGTGAGAAGACTCATAAATAATTTCATATTAAAATCCGATATAATTGAAAGGAAAAGCCAAAGCAGGTTACTTGCTTTAGACTCAATAAAAATTATCTTGTAAGAGCGATATCCGATAAGAATTAGCTACCTAGGTTCATGATTAAATTCATTTTCGTCTATAACTAACTCGTGGAAAACGTTCCGTTTGCATAAAAAACAAACATTCTACAGAGGAAAATTTGGCACTTTAACTGGAGATCTTGCCGCAGGGCAAGTCAAAAAATATCTGTTGCTGCAGAATTTTGTGGAAAAAAGAATAAAATGCTAATGCGCCGTAACAATTTTACTCGTATTATGTCATTGACACTCCACTCCATATTTGGTCAGCAGATGGTATTTGACATTTATTGACTGGAACCGAGGGCAACATGTTCAATATTGAATATTGAGTTTTACAGTGTAGTTTGAATATGAATATGTATGGTAATAACATGAATATTTGAGTATATAGGAAAATGAACATTCAGAGTGTATAGAATGTACGAATATATACTAGAAATACATGCATGCAGCAACGGAACGTATTTAAATTAATTATGTATTCATTGCAATCATCAGCTAATTATAAATTATAATACAGTTTTTTGATGACCTTAATGACACCTCTAAGACTTGAATTTATAAAATGCGCTACAAAAAGCTGCTGTGGCACACTCATGTTGGTCACCAAATCATTCAGCATCACCATTTGTAGACGAACCGAGGTTAAATGTATCGTAGAGCAAGCAACAAATTCATGAGAATAGAAACTTATTATGTTAACCAAAATGTTCCAATTAATGCATACAGATGTACACGCATAAATTGAAGTTCTTTTTCATTTTCTCAAAACTATAAACCATTTTCCGCATATTGTTTTAAATTTTTCCATAAGAATCTGCCTTATTTTTTAGACCTGTGTGAGGTCCACCCATAAAATATACTGACGCGTCCGCGATCATTGATGGACTTTTCACTTCGCTAGCTTTTCTTCTACCGAGTGAAAATAGAACAATTAACACTCGCACCACTAGTTAACGGCGTTTGTTCGGGGATAATTATTTTGGAACGAAATTGGAATAAATATACTTGCTTTCACTGGTAAGGTATTTGTGGAATAGCGAAGGGAGAAATATTGCATTTTGCTGGTAAAAAATTGAATGTTGAAGTAAAAGTATTCTACTTCCACCCCTAGAGTGTGTTTCTTTTTAAAAATATGCATTTCAGGCTAAAAAAATACATACGTTTTCAACACTAAACCAGAAATATATGCATGCAAGAGCTCCTTGCCTATATTTTCCAAACAATGATTTAATTAACATAAAGTATTATTAATTGGGCCATCGTGGCAACAAGATGGCCCAATTTGATTTTTTTCAAAAATAGTTAAGTTGAACGATGATTAGTACCTTTAATTTTACAAAAAGAATTTCCGAAATGTATACTGTAGGTATGTTACTTTGCATTTTGTGAACTTTGATTTAATGTAAAATTTAACCTGACTTAATAAATTTAAACTTTCATTCAACTAAACTGCTTTTGCCGATAAACTGTAATTTGACTTAATAAGCAAAATAAGTTCAAATTATTATCCTATTTAATACGTTTTATTAGTTTTATTAAGGTTTTTTTTCTTAAATTAAGCAGAAGAATTCAGGAAACTTGCAGCTACATTGAAGAGGAAAGCAGATGACGTTTTAGGTAAGAAATTAAAGCAACAAAATTCAGAGCAAACTTGCCCTAATCAACAGTAATATTGAAATGTTGCTTATCCCGCTCCTTTGCTTGGGGATTATTTTAATTTATCAAAACCATGGCTAACTATTGGTTTTTAAAATTATTTAATCTAGTTTATACCTTTTCCTTTATATAGTATAACCACTATCAGTTGTGTTTCACGTTATATTTAATGTAGTTTACAGTCTATACATGAAAACAAAAAACCTTGAAATATTTCTCAAGTAAGTGAAATATATAATATTGTTTTGCTTCGTAGAAAAAATAATAAAAGATGAAGATTTAGACTTACGGGTCAAAAGAGTTGCTAAATAAATGTACCTGTTTTCTTCCACAAAACAAAACAATAATAATTAATGCTGCCATGCAAACCTACAAAGAACTTATTAATTAATGTGGATAAAAAGCTTACTCGAACTGGCGGACTCACCGATCGGCGGACTCGCGGACTGGATTCTTTGTGTATTTCATTTTAATATGGTATTCGCTTATTTACTATTGTTAGGAAACAGTTAGTCTCCTAATAGTAGCCTAATATGCCGCTAAGCAAATGCCATATTAATATGAAATACACAAAAATAATCCAGTCCGTGAGTCCGCAGATCGGTGAGTCCGCCAGTCCGAAGTTTTCCATCCACATTCATTAATAGATAGCTTAAGATCTACGACGTCGACGCCAGCTAGGACGTCAGGGCTAAGCAGAGGACTGGGACTAGGACGTCGTCCTGAATAAGTCGATAGCTCAAGTATCTACGACGTCAAATATTTAGGGCGGCAAGCAGAAGTGTATTGGTAATAGTTTTTGAAGTGTGCATGCATGTGTCTCTCTCAATTTGCTCGTCGTTCACCAAACGTCGACAACCTCGCAACAAGAGTTTTACCGTCGTAAATACAAGAGCATAACAAACGGTAATGGGTTCACACGGCTCTTTTAAATTCATTTTCAAAAGCATGTAAATATTTATAGTTTAAATGTCTAAGTCGTAAAACTTAATATATAAGTGGAAGTTTATTTATTTAGGACGACGTCCTAGTCCCAGTCCTATGCTTTATAGCCCTGACGTCCTAGCTGGCGTCGACGTCGTAGATCTTAAGCTATCTAGTAACTTCGTTGTAGGTTTGCATGGCGGCATTAATTATTATTGTTTTGCTTTGTGGAAGAAAACATTTTCATTTACTTAGCAAATCTTTTGACCTGTAAGCCCTCATCTCGTTTGCACGCATGAAGTTCCGGGCTCGCGAATCAAAATGTTTGCTAATTGTAATGTAATACGCTGAGGATAACCTGCATGTACAGTATACAGTAGTAGGTTTAGACAGCTTGTAACTGAATTTTCAAATTGTAAATTGTACTATCCACAGTATACAGTGTTTGATTTGTAAGAGCCATCGCTCTCTCTTTTCCTTACTCTTGTTTGAAGCCGCACTTCCAGTACGCCACCACTTTTCAGCGAGTCCCAAAAATTAAATCATGTGTTGTTGCTTGTTCAATTAGGGATTAACTCGCCCCGCGGCTCGTGCAACTTGGGCAAAATTTTCAAACATACGAGCCAACTTGCGACCCAACATACGACCGAACTTGCGAGGAATCGAGTTCGGTCTATAATTAGACAAGTGATATTCAAATGTACACACAGATAAAAGTTGTACACACACGCAATTGTCCAGTACAAGGACAAATCATGTGGCTCCATACAATTTGTAAAAAAGAGAAAAATCATAGATTAGATCAAACTTTTGGAAGGACTTTACTTGTTAACAATAAAAACTTGTACAGCGTTCATAAAGCAACAGTTTAAGAATTTGAAATTGGTATGGCAACAATGACGATTCAACATGGCTGATATTTTCGCTTTTGATGCACTTTACTTGCAAAAATGCCTGGTTACTCCATTTTTTATTTCAGGAAAGTTCTCATGTAGTACAATAGACTGCCTGATGGAGTTAAAAGTCCTGTAGAGTCAAAAGATGTTTATTTCGAAAAACCATGTTTATAATTTTTTTAAAAATTTGACTCTACAGAATTGTTTTAAACTAAGTTAGATTGGTTGTACTAGAAGGAAATGTTTTCTGAAATAAAAAATGAGGGTAGCCAGGCGTTGTTTTAAGAAAAGTGGGTTAAAATCCAAAATATCGGTCACATTGAATCATCATTGTTGCTGCAATAGCAACAGTGGTCACGTCGTTTTTGGGACGAGTTTCTAGCTGTTCGATTGTTGCTTTATACATGGTGTACAATTTTTTATTTCTAGCAAGCAACAACTCTTCAAAGAATTGATCTAATTTATGTATTTTCCCGATATTTTCAAAAAAATGTGGGAATTCTCCTTATCCGTGCCCGACGATGGTTAAATTTGGTATGGCTACCAAAATTGAACGTTGTGTAAACGGGCCTTAAACGACCTTCTGTCCTAACACAAATAATTTGGTACGGGTACTATTTTTATCTGTGCCGGGCCAAAAATTGATCATGAGGATAGTTTAAACGGGACTATGGCAACATAACTGGAAGTTCCGGTCCAAGCTAGAAGTACGGTTCAGTTGTCCTTGTGGGTTACCGTAGCTGTGGAAATTTAAAACTTGAACTGACACGTTACACGTTCATGACAGCTTACTACTCTGTACAGCTTATACTCAGCGTATTACATTACAAGTAGTAGGCGAAAAAACAACATTGGACAGTTTCACTATGCTGTTTATTCCCTCTGAGAACTCGGTATAACTCGGATGCTGGATTTATTTCCGTATTTTGCTTGTGATAGGATAAAGCATTCGTAGGTGTTAATGTCTTGCCTTTTAAAGCCGACAAACATTTTGTTGGCGCAACGTCATTCATATGGGTTGTATTTTCTCCACAATGTTCTTCTTTGCCACGTGCCAAAAGGCAAAATGGGTGGCGATTTATTCGCTCTTGTATCATTAACGCATGCGGATGACGACCACTATAAAGTCCTAAACTAATTTTCAAAGCACAAAAGTAAGACTGGAGGGATGATTCACTGTCTCCAATGTTATCTTGTACAACTCCAATGTTGTAGTATGAAGTTGCAACTTCTGCGTGTATCTCACCGTGAAGCTCTTGTAAAGTTTGCAGAGCACATTTATACGACTCTAGAGCCGATCTGTATTGTTGTCTTGAATTTTGCTCTCTTCCAACACATCTGTAGCATTCCGCTAGTTTTGCATCCAGTGGAAGTTGTTGCCGAATTTCAAGTTCTTTCAAGAAGAATTCAAGCACTGATTCTCCTTTTCCAAATCGCTGCACAGTGATAGTGTGGTAATATGTTGCTAGTCTCTCGCGAAGCAACAGTAGCCGTTCCAACAGTAGCCGTTCCACATCTTTGGCATTTTTATATCGTTCGTCTTCCATATTTTCTACATCCTTTTGTATACCTTTAATGGTTGTCTCAACATCTGACGAGTTACCCGAAATACGAAGATGAATGTACGCCATGTCACATAACTGGAGCAAAGTGCATACTTCTGCCGTCCAAACCAGTATAAACAATCTACTGATTTGCTTTGAAAACTCATATAACATATTTCCCAATTCTGTATCCAACTCTGCCCAAGGATAATTTCTTGTCCATAAGCTAAGTCGTGCAATCGCCCAAGCTATTAATGGTTGATTACTGGAAAAAGTAGCATCGAGCTCTTTTCCGTTTATCCAGGGCTTTCCAAAAAGAGGTAGCAACAGAAATGCTGAATTTATTGCACAAGTTTCAACTGCCTTTACACGATACTGTTCACACCTTACAGAATTGCCAGTACACTTGTAATAGATGGTCAAAAATTGAAAGGCCAAAATCTTGAGAATGACATGTTCTGACTCGTTACTTAATTGAAGCAAACCATCTTCAATGCTTTGGGCAGCAGTTTCCCCACCGCCATTAGACAATTCATAAATGCCCTTATAACACAGAAACTTCCCTTGAACAGAAACAGGCAAAAGCGAAATTTTTCTGCTTGTTTCATGGTCTTCTGGGGGTAACACGGAAATTGTTCTGCTAACAAAAGTTGTTGCATAGAATTGTTTACTTGTATACAGTCCCGCAAAATCTTTATCGAAGTTACCGTCGGATACCTTGGACAGAGCCGACTCGTATAAGAGTTCAATTTCCACCAAACTATTTGGGTAAAGACTATCCAGGAAAAACTCACATTTTTGTAAAACATCAACAACCTTCTGAAGTAATACGTCATCATTCAAGCCATTAGTAAGACTGGATAAAATTCTCTGTTCTTCCACAAAGAATGCTTTAAACGCGGACATGGAATCACCTTTTGTGAAACGGGAGTTAAGATGATGAAATAAATTTATGTAATACTCAACGAACCGAGCCTTCGATGACACCAGCACATCCTTCATTTCCTTTCCCCCCTTTTCTAAAATGAATTAGAGGATGAACTGCGTATATTTCACTGTTACCATTGACATCAATCAACGATTTCCTTTTGAGATTTTCTATATTCCGCTTTGCCTGAAATTTACCTCCTCCAACTATGGCAATACCAGCATCCAGCCCAAATTCAGCACCATCAAACACAGAAAGGATCATCTATGACATCTAGCAAACCTTCAGAACCGTGATTAATTTCATCCAGAAACTCTCGAGGACAATCTTTGATCAGGGTACAAAGTAATCGTATAGCTAATGGAACATGTCCACACATCTTTGATATTTGGCTTTGTATGTCTACTGCTGTTGATAGTGGTAGGAATTTCAGAATCAAAGTTTCTGAAGATTGCGCGTCCAAAGGTTTTAACCGCAAAGAATCGAATCCTTGCAATCGGGAATAAATAAATTCTAGGAATTCTCTTGTGATGGTCAAAAAGCATACGTTTGGACAGCGATGTAGAACGTCGGTTGTGAAATTTAACACTGCCTCCTTTTTGTCACTAGATGTTAAAAGATCATCAATATTATCGAGAATGACAAAAACGCGGATGTTAATACTTCGAAAGGCGCGAAGAAGCTCATCAGCAGGGGTTATATTTACGTTGTGATTCAACTCTGTTGAACGTATGAATAAGCCAAGTAATTTCGAGGTGAATTCTTTCATGGTACTTACACCTCGGAATGAGAAGTAATAAACAGACTCCCCTTGATTCTTTAGTTGGTTTCCAGTGGCAATGGCCATTGACGTTTTACCAAATCCTGGTGAGCCCCATATACTGAATAACCGCGTTGACTGTGACATCATAGATTTACCCACAGCTTCGCATTCCTCATTCCGACCAACAAAGTCAGGAATTAATGGTGGAACACACGAATCAGGAATCGTTTGAAAATTTGCTAGTAAATAAAACATCAATACACTATGTTAGACCACTTTACCGATTCCCTGGGTGAGCAATGGGGAAAATGGCATAAATTACATATACCTAAAAAATACATATTCAGTGGCGTAGTCGAAATTAAGCGCCTTTAACTTACTTCTGAAATCGTGATTTACTATAGCAATGGCCCTTCTGCACTAAAGTGCAGGCGAGCTAAAAAGAAAACGCATTTCATTTGGTAGTGATCAAAGTGAACGATCGAAACGTAAAACAATTTTTTCTACTTTGACGAGCATTGATATACACAGGAAAAAATTTAGGCAAAGGTCTTGTGGCAAAATTTTAAAATTTGAATCCCGGAGATGGTATTTGCAGCATTCTGAGAACACATTTTGCGAAAAAACTAGTTTTCAAAACACTGTTTCAATGATGCGTTTTGTTATAAATCACATCAACATTTCAGAGAAAATCAACATTTCAGAGAAAATATATAATTACATGATTATTTACATTTGTGAATGGAATTGCAAGGTGCTTTAATTTAATTAACACGCCAATGACAATGTAAAACTTTATTTGCTAAGTGATGATGTCAATTGAATTATCCATTGTTTTAAGCATAATAGTTTAATACGCATTCAAATATTATTGTGCACAGGGAATTTCGCCGCTAAACAATGGTATAAGCTTCGGAAACAAGAAAAAATCGACAATAACATTTAAAGAAGTGCCTGTTACAAAAAGTTGACCCCCTAGTATCTGTCAAAAAAGAGTGTATAAAATGCATATGTTGTGACATGTACAGTACAGAAACATATATCATTATATTATCACGACGATTACATTATATGAGTGTGCACGATTTGTGTTATTTGGTGCGAGATTTTTACAGTCATTCAAAATTATTGGAGGTGGGGGGGAGGGGGAGTCTCATACCCACTAGTGTCCGCCACTGATTGGCCAAGACAGTAAATCCAGCTTTTAAGTTTGAGGTTAACGTTTGTGGTATAAATTCTACACATGGATTCTGATACATTTTATTTCTATTTTTATAATATGAATTTTAATACACGTGCCCTTGAAAAATTTCTGCATATTTTTACATGGCCCACCCTTATGATTGCAAATAACTTTCGATGACCCACCCTTTCAACCGTGCACAGAAATAGTGAACCACCCCCTATTTTTCCCAGCCCACCCCAGCTTTTACTTTATGACTGGTCCCTAAGAAAACCAAACTTTACTGTTTGGGAAATTTCTAATAACCAATAACCAATAATGGAATGGTAAGAGCTCAGTTCAACCATTCAAAACCATTAATGGAAATTTAATTCTTTCTCCTGCGATATAGGATGCAATTTCGCTTCATCTGAAGTTTCGAGCGAACGCCTTTCGTCTGAAAGTAGTAGATTGAGTTAGAAAAAAATACTGCATGTTTACAGAAGAAACAAAAATTTAAACCGATTACGTGATAAAAATGAACTAATCACACAGGAAAAAATTTAAATTTCCATTAATGGTGTTGAATGGTTTTTAAAGATGTATACTATCATTGTAAAAATTGAACTCATACCATTGTCGGTTATTATAGATTTCCCATATAGTAAATTAGTAAAAAAGCCCTGATGTTTAATATTGACTGTTATTGGTATTTTCCTGGTAAATATCAAACATGGTTTTTACCAATTTACCAATTTTTTCAAATCGGCCTGATAAATAGTAAGTGCGAGCACAATGGCTCCGTTTCAGTTTGAGTATAAAATTGAGTATTTTGATAGTGTGGCCTTTCACGCTATATAATAGCGCTTGATAGATATCTAGTCAGTACAGGGACCGGCTAAACGGAGAGTTATGAAGTGGAGAGTTATCTCGGAGAGTTATGATTTCGGAGAGTTATGTTCGAACCACGCCCAAACCACGCCCAAACCACGCCCACTTTTCCCAACGACCACACCCAATTTCTTAACTCTCCCGATGTTTCCTTGAACTAACATGAGAGAGTTATGTTTGACGTAACTCTCTCTTGTTAACGTTATGAAGATGTTAGAGAGTTATCATTTTTTATAACTCACCGCGTTCACGATTGTGGCAATGCCAATGAAGAGAGTTATGTCCGTCAGTTTTTTGAAAAAAACTTCCACATTTTAGTAAATTATAATTGTGAATTTACTTTTTTCTCAAGTTTCAGCTTTAACATTCCACGCTAGTAGAAACTGGTAGTACTTTAGTACTTACCAAGTGAAGCGAGTACGAGTAAATAAACTATTATACATGCTCACTTGGATTATCTACAAAGCCCGGCCAGCATTCAGATACAGCTCAGATAGAACCAGAAAACCTTTCCAATGTAATGCCCTATTGGTTGATCTGGGAAAGTATTTCCAAAACCTGAATTTCTGAAAGATTCAATTTTCGCAATTTTCTTGCAACTATGCTTACCGTATTTACTGCCAAATACACGTCAAAGCATGCTTCTTGGGGTACTTTGACCCTTCTGATGCAAGCATCTCATTGTTTTGACTATTTCCTGTTTGGACGTCAAGTTGTACTATTTCCTGTTTGGACGCATGCTATTGACACGTTACAAACTGAAATACCAAAATATAAGATGAAAATCTGAAGAAACAAGCTTTACTAAGGTTTTCTCAAAAAACTGACATAACTCTCTTCATTGCCACAATCGTGAACGCGGAGAGTTATAAAAAATGATAACTCTCTAACATCTTCATAATGTTAACGAGAGAGAGAGAGTTACGTCAAACATAACACTCTCATGTTAGTTCAAGGAAACGTCGGGAGAGTTAAGAAATTGGGTGTGGTCATTGGGGAAAGTAGGCTTGGTTTTGGCGTGGTTCGAACAGAACTCTCCGAAATCATAACTCTCCGAGATAACTCTCCGGTTGGTAACTCTCCCTTTAGTCATACTCGTCAGTGCAAGCACAACGGCTCCAAAATCACAACAAATAACAGAGTATATAAGGTAAACTAGAAATACATGCATACAGCAACCCCTCGCCTATATTTTTCAAACATTGATTTAACATGAAATATTAATAATAATGATCGACACTGAACGCAGGCTCGCGTTTTCGTCAGTGTTGCCATAGCAACACGATAATTTTAATTTCTAATTATATTTCTTGTACAACACGCCAAAATAGTTGAAAGATTATTGCTTTTAACTATATAACAATGAATAGTTTTTCCGAAATATGTACTGAAGGTATGTTATTTTGCATTTTGCGAGCTTTGATTTAATGTAAAAATTATCCTGAATCACTTCGTAAAATGTTTTGTATTTACATTTTTTTCTTAAATTAAACAGCTAGAGTAATTTAGGAAACTTACAGCTTCATTGAAAAGGAAAGCAGTGCATGTTTTACGCAATAAATTAAAGCAACAACATTCAAAGCAAACTTGCCCTATATTTCACGATTTTCCATAGTAAATCAATTCTTCTCATTTCTTCAAGGCAAAAATTGCTTCAAAGCTCATTGTGTGAAACGTGATTTTCCAAATATATGCTTTTGAAAATTGAAATCTTGTTTTTCCCTCTCCTGGCATAAAGCCATATTTTTGAGATCAGTGAGGTCCACCAATGAACCATAGTCACAATCAATATTTTCTTGCGTTTTCGACATGATTCAAAATTTATAATAATACTTATTATGCTCGTAAATGCTCGTTGGAAAAACTCGGTATTTGTCGGATTTTATACGAACCTGCCAAGTGATTTTCCACCGCCGGTACGCCGCGACATAACATTTTGAGATATATGAAAGTTGCATTCCATATATGGCATGCAACAAAAGGTATGAAATGAAGATTCAAAGGATTCACATTAATATGTTCTCAAGTGAGTCCAATCGATTGAAATGAACAGTTGACATATTAATTTAGCTAAAACAAAAAAATTGTACAATTACCATTTTTGGAAGCTTGATCAATGATATCCATTTTCACGCCTTCTAACTTCCCATTAATATCATGAAGAAATGTTGCTTGCGCATTTTCGAAACCAGATATTTTCTCCATGACTTCTTCTTGAGCATTTTCGAAACCAGATATTTTCTCCATGACTTCTTGTTGAAGAAACTTGTTGGTTTCTTGTAACTCGGTCTTCATTCCGTCAATTAACTCGTTAACTATAGCAGTTGGAAAGTCTTCTTCTTTAAGGCAACCAATGTCATCGATACCAACTACTGAGACTCCTGTTGCTGTAAAAGCATCCTTTGCTAGCTGAATATAATAATTAATATCAACTTTACTAATTGTTGGCTTAGGTATGTGACATAAAGTGTTTCTGAGTAGACGAAGTTGATCGATTGCTAATGTTACAGTTTCATCCGGATTTCCAGTTGGACTAATCACTGAAGAATGGAAAGGACTAGGTTTCCTTCCTTTAAGGTATTGATGATAAAGTGTCTTCGTAGACTTATACGTGACGAGGCCAAAAGTGTTGGAGTAAATTGTAGCTTTAAACAGAGCTGTACAATCCCAATCATTGATCGATTTACTGGTTGATATATCAGATTTTCCGCCTTCTCTTGTCAGGAGAAGATTGCGGACCGTGGTAGAATCATCCCATACTCGATAACCTGGCAATGTGGCAATCTTGCTGTCCCACATTGTTGCAAATGTCTGACGTAACATCTTTGGAACTTCGTCCAGAACAATGGATGAACATTTGAAGTAATTCAATTCTTCTTTGCTGAATAGTTTTCCTGCCATTTTGATGTTGTTTAATTATTCTACATAGATAGCAATTGCTTCTTTTTGACTAGAAAAATATAAATTATAACAAGTTAGTTTCCCATCCTCGTGTGAGTAGTTACTTACAAAAGTAGTTGCGCAAATGCGAAACAATATGAAACGTTTCCGAAGTGGACAGACTTTCTCTGATGGCGAAAGGGTTCTGAACGCATGCAGTGGCCAACAACTGATTTCCCCCACCCCCAATAATTTCTGAAAGCCTTTGAATGTTACAATTTGTAGCTGAGAAACTAGGTACCAAATCTGTAACTTTAAATTTATTTGCAAGGCTACAAACTTTCATAAAATCGAAGGCAAAAAAAATATTAAAGAAATTTCTCATTTTAACAGCATCAGGATATCAGCCATTGTTGTTACCATTTAGGACAAGCTTATGCGTAAATGAATTTTATCACGGATCTAACGTCTTGTGGCAACCAATGACAGAAATGTACAAAATAAACTGGATAAAATGTCCTACATGCATGGTTGGTTACTCAACAATCAGAATGACATCACTGTGGACCATGTTCTATCAAATGTCCTCCTTTCTAGTAACGTATAAATCCTCCAATTAAACATCCTTTCCATTTATCCCTCTCCTCCTCCTCCTCCTTACAGCAAAAACACATGTGCACTCATAAGATTTTTTAATTGCGTACTGTATTTCCAACCTCCTCTCCAATATGTACAATAAGAAATTGCGCCCAAAAATTTACACCAGGTGTTGACACCTAAGAAACATCGCGGGAGATTTATCTGGCGGGAAATTTTTGCTTTGCAAACAGAAAAATTTTTTCCTTTTAATTTTCCAATTGTGTGTCATTAAAATGTACAGATAAAAATTTCAAACAACCGAATTGTTTTTGATTGAGCATGCAATTACAATTACAATTTATTATAGCTTTATTGGCATGACCTTAAATTACAGGTATTGCTAAAGCATAATAATCTAAATATATTAAAATAGTCTAAATATAGTAAAAAGGTAGAAATTCCAAGTTTACAGATGGTATACGTAAGAAGTACATGCATTACAATAACTATAGTCAATCCCAATAACAAATAACAAATAACAAATAACAAATAACAAATAACAAATAAGATCTATTTACAAGATATAGGAAAAATTTTCATTCAGCTTTCTAAGATTAGAGAAATAGTACGTTAATAATTAATTGACAGCAATCCCAATTTCAAGGTATCTATTTCTTTCCGTAAAACAGGAAGAAATATATTTCGACAGAGATAAAATAATCCCTTGTTCTGTAGATTTCATTATATCTACTAATTGTTCCTGATCTGTGATAATGGTTAACTTGTTTCTGAGAGTGGTGTAAAAATTCTCTCTTTGGTTGCTGTAGGCTTTACACGAATTGGCAAAATGGTTTTCATCTTCCACTTCCCCTGACTGGCAGATTTCACACAGTCGTTCTTCCCTTGGTATTTTTTGATAGCGACCTAACTCAATCATTAATTTGTGGTTGCTCACTCGAAATTTTGTGAGTGTTTTTCTTTCGGTTGGATTTTTTATTGTTGAAAGATATTTCTCTAGTTGGTATTCTGTTTTGAACGTGTTGTAAAACTTTAGTTTGGAGGAGTTTTCGAGTTTGTGTTTCCAAAAAGTAAGATATTTTTGCTTTATGTTGTCATGGATAAAGCTTAGTGTTTGAATTGTGATTGATTCCAGTTCTGTTATTTGTGTGTTGCAGTTAAAGGATTTCAAAATATCCATAATATTTCCATAGAACGAGGTAATTCGTTTGGAGTGTAAGTCTTTCGAGATAAGAAAAGCTTGTTTGGCAAGTGCTTCTTCAGGTAGTGAATTTAGATGAATAATGTATTTGAATAGTCGCTTATAAATATTGATTATCAGTGGAAACTTTTCTAGTTCACCTCTGCAAGCAATATTTGTTGTTTTCCTCCCAACATCCAAGTATAGTTTGCAAAATCTCAAGTGTGTTTTTTCAATATGAGAGTTATCCCAATTGTTAAAGTCATTTTTGATATAAGCACCCCACACTTTTGAGTTGTATAAAAGAATTGGTGATATTATGGTATCAAATATTTTGATAGCTAGTTTTGGGTTTAGATTGTGTAGATTGAGATGTCTTCTTATATTGTATAGGGCATGAAGTGCCTTTTCGCCAAGCTGTTTCATAGCTAATGTGAATTTCCCATTTGAATTAAGCTTAATTCCTAGGTAGCAATATTGTTGTACAATTTCTATGGTTTTGCTGTCTAATGTGAAGCTTGGTTTCGTCTTTTTCGTATTTCCTTTTTGAAAAATTATTACTTTTGTTTTCTTTAATTTAACCTCCATTAGCCATTTACTGCACCAATTTTGGAGTTCATTTAGACATTTTTGTAGTCCAGATCTTGATCTAGACAGGATGATTAAATCATCAGCATAGAGAAGACAGTTCAATTTTGAGCCATTTGGCAGTATGAAGGGGTCTGAGTCAGTATTGTTAAATATGTTGTTAGCTCGTTTATGTAAAGGTTGAATAAGAGTGGACTTAATGTGCATCCTTGGCGAACACCTTTGGAATAAGGGAAGAATGTTGTTCTGGACTTGGATAATTTGACTGCACATTTAGAGTTATAGAATAAAGGCTCTTAATTGGACGATAAAAATTTCCCCCAATTTTGTATTTTAATAGTTTAGAGTATAGGCCTTCATACCAGACAGTCAAATGCTTTTTTGAAGTCAACAAAGCATGCATAATTTTTATTGTTTTTGTTTTGGGTGACATGCTTATCAATTAACGTTTTTAGGGTGAAAACGTGATCAGCTGTTCTATGTCCCGATTGAAATCCAATTTGCGAATGGTGAATTAAATGATTTTCTTGTGTGAAATCATTCAATCGTTTATTTAGAATCATATTAATGTGCCTACCGTATATTGTTACCCAGTGAAATTGATGATAGCCGATTTAATTCGCGCGAAAAGTATATGCTCACAGATTCAGTTCAGCCATATAATAAACCGATTATTGACCTCGCTTGTTCGGTCTGTACTGTGAAATATCAGATCTCTGTTTATTGCATGGAAAAACCTCGCTCTGATATTTCACAGTACAGACCTCACGCTCGGTCAATAAGCCGTTAAACTATTACGTAAAGCACGAGGTCGAGAGAGTTTATTAAAAGAAGTAAATTTGCTTCATTGGTTAATTTAATTAAAATAATATATTGAATACTTGGCTATATAAGTTATAAAGATATTGATATGTGATCTGACATTTTAACAAAGAATACGATTTAATTTTAAAAAATTCAAAAATGTATATCAAGAACAAAAGTTATACAATATATCTGTAGACTTTTCAATACTGTTTCTAATCATTTTATAAAAGTAGAAAATAAATAAAGTATTACATGGATAAAAACATAGTATAACTATACAATAAAATTTAAATTTACTTAGTCTATTGCTAACATTAATAAGTGCACTATGAATGGTTGTGGCAAACCAACACAGTGACTTCAGGACAGTATTTTCAATAAATAAGCACAATCACCATGCAAAATGTCAACGGGTATCAATTTCCTCATAATTTGAGGCCTGACATAAAAGGTCATGTAAAATGAATGTTACATTTCGACAAGACCCGAAATGAGTAATGAGCCGGAGCCTTTGGATAGACTGACAGTATATATTGTACCAACAACATGATTTGAACGACTTTACTTGCAGGAAAAAATCATAAATAATAGTAAATCACAGAGGAAACGCCTAAAAGCAGGGAAATTGTAAGCAAAATGTAGGCGAATAATGCCCTAGGTGGCCACTAACCTTTCCACGAAGGGTAACTAATAAGAATAATTTAATCCATATTTCCGAGAGAAGGACAATGGATAAAATCTTACAATATTCTTATTTAGATACATATCACCACAGACACAAGCAAGCATGCATATCCAAATGTAAGAATGGCGTTAGGCTGTTAAAACTGAACAGACCCTAATTCATAACTAATCCTTGAACATGTTCAGGAACAGTTTCACAGCTACTTTTACTTTCTAACAAACCAACACAGGAGCAATTTCATAAGAATGTGATAGCATGACATTTTCGAATCCATATATGTCCAATATCGACCATTCGACTCAAATGGACAAAACACATTTCAAATGCCGTTCAAACCGATCAAATGGACGACATTTGTTCCATTTGAAATAAAACAATTCAAATGGTTCCGACAGTTCAAATGGACACCATTTTCGTCCATTTGACAAAGCATTGTTAAATGGTCAAATGGAGTCATGCTGTGCTTTGCCAGCGTAAGGCTTGTCCAATGGATCAAATGGATCAAATGGATCAAATGGATCAAATTGACACTATTTGTTCCCATTGGACAATTTAACCATTGTATAATCATTCATAGCACTGCCTCTATAATCCATTCGACTAGCTTTGCTTTTTCAGCCTAATGCATCCTTGGTCACCGTGTGACCATTCGACAAGTGTTAGTCGAATGGAATCAAACCGTGTCTATTCGATCCATTCGACCCCTTTGATCCATTCGACTAGCTGATCCATTCGACTACCTTTGGTTTGCAGTCTTATGCATGCATTAGACAAGTGTGCATTGAAGTGTAAATTCCAAGTATTAGTTATTCTAACAAAAGTTTCCGAATCGATCTATTTGAACAACCTGAATTTTGATTTTTTCCATTTGATTCGAATCGCCGGTATTGGACATCAATCCACAAGTGACATTTATCAATTACGACATTGATTTTGAAACATCTCAACTGAAAAGCCCTGGCCCGCAACCTGACAGGGCCAGAGCTTTTCAGTTGAGATGTTCCAAAATCAATTTTTGGAACAGGACCCTATTAAATTTTTACTTTTGTGAGGCCTTTCTTCGAGGATGGGGCCCTGTTGAAGGATCCTATCAAATATAGCACCGCTATCGGAGTCCCAGATCGAACGGAAAAGTTGGCTTAATCCCACAAAATCCCTTTGCAAGGCTTGGTTTCATATCCTCAAATTAAGAATTCTCATTTACTCCAGGAAAATTCGGCTCCTTCCTGACTTTCCTTTGGGTTGGGGGTGTTCCCCTTCCCCCGCCCCACACACACGCACCCACCCCGCACCCTGTCGGCACGGCCCTGGCGTCATTTTCTCAAAAATATGTAATTTAAGCACTTATTGATTTCTGATGAGAAGTTTTCACGCAATTATAAGCCGTTGAGCGTACAAGCACAACAACTGAATCTTTCAAGACTTATTTTCCGTAAACAGCAAAAAAGGGAAAAAATCATTAGAAAGCGAAAAGAGAATGCGCAGCTGTTCATAAGATGTACAATTTTTGTTTTCTAACAAGCAACATTTTTTCAAATAGTTTGATCTAATTCATAATTTTTGGCATATTTTCAAAAATTGTAGGGAGCCACCTTAATGCAGGTCAACCAATCATAGAATGTACTGTTGGGTTTGAGGCAGTTGTCATTCTCTATTATATATCAATTTGATTTCACATAAGTTTCTTATAGTTAGAGCTTTATTTTACTTGACGAACAGAAGACAACTAACACTTTTACAATGAATACACACTATTTACATAAGTAATTAACGCTTTACGTGATTGGTCAGATAATCGCCAAATATGGTAATGAGTCTCTAGCTCTTTATCTTTATGTAACTTAATATATATAAACTAACAATTGTTTCTATTTTGATGACATAGATATGTCATACATAAGAACACAAATTAACATGTACATGATGACTTTTTCTGAATATCAACCCTTAATTAAGTTGCATTGCGCCTCCATTACTCAATTAATGCGCGACTCCACTCGTCAAGTGGAGACGAGCACTGGCGCCAACTCAGGGACCGCGGAGGTATTTTTTGATTGGGGGGGGGGGGGCTAGCGAACACC